TATTCAATTTATAATTAATTGTATGCAAACGAAAAAACGGGAGCCGTTATTGCCAGAATATTAAAACCATAAGTATGGAAATCTTTTGTTCTCTTTTACACAATATTTGCGTGAAATACAACTGACCAATGCAGCGCACAATACAGCCCAAAGGATATTTGCAACGGAAACGTTAATAATTGTTTTAAAAAAGTTGAAGAGAAAAACAGGTAAAAACAACAAAGCCGCAGTTGAATACTCTGCACAACATTTCGACTAAAAAAAATTGCTCGTTGACTTACGTGGTAAAATACCGTAAATTATATCTTGGCTCCCTGGCGAGGTATACGTTTCATGAGCGCTATTATATGGTCTCATTATTCTTCTCCTAATTTCGTTATGAAGAATTATAAATTAGAGCTTGTTGCCAGCTAAGTCCTTACTTTTCAGGAGAAGCTTTATATGGGGAGGGAAATCCAAAAAGTTGAGCTAGGTAGTCAAAATTTTTTACAGTTAACTTTTATGTTCAACTACTATTGTGGAATAAATTTTAGTAAACTATTTGGCAAAGTAGGGCTTTTTATTATACGAATGCGTCCTTCTCGTAGGATCGGTCACATGGGAGAGGGCTTATCTATCTTATTTATTTATCTTATGTAAATTTCTCATATCAGGTCTGCAGCGTCGAATACTATTTTTAAAGGAGGATTTTTTCCAAATAAGAACTTCTGCAATTTCGTCAAAACTTCTTAAGATTTTCGATCTCTAAGCTGAACGCAATAAATTAGATTAACAGACGTCAGACGGACAGATTGAGAATTTGATTCGAAATCGATAGGTATAATAAAAGTGTATTTATTTTGAGTCTTTCTGGCTATTACACCAAATTGTTGTATATAGCGTACATTAAGTTTGCATGTTTGTATGTAACGTGGAAAACAACACACAATAAACTCACCATCTTTTATACCGATCGATAAAGAATCGTTTTCTGAATCGATTTAAGCTTGTCTCTCCGTCTGTCTGTTTGTCTGTCTGTCTGTCTGTCTGTCTGTCTGTCTGTCTGTCTGTCTGAAGTCTATTCTTGTATTCATGTACAGATCGCAATTTTGACGAAATTTGGTATAACAATGTTTTCTTTGGCCTACGCTACGAACGCTATCGAATATCTTGCTTTGTATGGATTTCTTATGGATGCCCTGAAAAAATGCTGAGAATATGAAATTCAATTTCTGAGAGTAAAATTTACTTTGCTGTAAACAATAACACCTGTATGGCAAATGTAATAAATAGCTTTGTTTATTTAATACCTTTATTATACATTTAAAATACTTTATTAATATATATAAAAATATATATATAAAAGAAATTGTTATTCTTTTTAATGGTTTCCTGATTGTTTCCGATTTTAACAGGAAGAAACCTTTGTTAAATGACATTTTAATAGGGGGAATCCTCTGTTAAAATGCCAAGCCGTCAGGAAAGTCGTGAAAACATTCAAACAACAAACGTTGTGAAAGAGCGTAAGATAGAACGAACAGATTTACTGAAATTTGTGCATTATGCATGCATAAGAACACGCACTATGAATCTGTTAATCTTATGAATATGGTTTGGATGGCACTATTTTTGCGATTGCTTGTCTTATAACGAAAAAAATTTGCAAATTTGTAATATTTCTCATATAAAGTTCAGCATATAAAGTAAACTTTCTACGTCTTTTCAACGCTCTTTCTATTCCCTCAACGCTGCAAAATTTTAAATAAAAGTTAGCACTCCTCCATTCTTCCCACTATATTATATTAGTTTGGGGAAAAAGAAATCCATTATTTTTTCGGTAGATGGCTGCACTGATAGATTAAATAAGATAAAAATTTACTGCTCCCGCCTGAATGTATGCTTTAAATAAATTAAGAAAAAAATATTAAACTGAATTAGAAATATTCTGAAATGTCTCGTCAGCTTTTCAAATGAATCGTTGCACACGAAATTATATCAATAGGCGAATATAACGCAATAGACTTGAAGTCGCCAGAGTCACCCGCTACAACGGAATATATCCTTCATTTTTGCGCACGCACTCGAAAAAATTGAGAAATTTTTATTTGATGTTTACTTGTTTATCGACAAACAAAATTATGTCACGTTTTGTTACCGACTTATTAACTTGAGCTAAAACATAAACCATAAGTAAAGTACAGGAGCCCTTTTAATAATATTAATCTACGTATGTATGAAAGTTGATATTCGAGTTTTTGTTTGCATTATGTATATGACTTTGGTCAGCGCCTTCGTCAAATTCATTTATGATAAATGAATAAAGCAGAAATATGAAGCAAACTTATCTCTTTATTCAAATTTTAAATAAATTTATGAAATGAAATCATTTTCAATGCTTTTTACTAAAAAACAAGTAAGACAACATTTTATTCGGTGGTGATCGAATATTTTATGCCCATCTACGTTATCCCAAACGGAACCATAACAATAAGAGAAGTTAGTTTTCATACTATATAATATGAAGGAGGCGCGGCTGATTTTCTCTATTTTCGGAATGAAAGTGGAAATTTTACGGAAAGCAAAGGTTTGACAATTTTTTCTTACATAGGCGTATGCGTTATAGGCGCGTCCTTTCACCAGTTTGGACAATTTTCAAATTCGTTGACAAATTTGTGAGCAGTACGGGAGAACGATTACCACAGACACGACGCAGTTCACACGGGCCGAAAATTTCTTTGAACTTCATGGGGTTTTTGCAGCTTACTTCTGAGGGTTATAAAGGTATAGAAAAAAAAATTAAATTTTGTGGCATTATAGCATTGGATATGCGTGGTCTATTTCTACCATTTATGCACTGGTATTACTGGTACTACTACTAGTACTACTACCGGTACTATTGGTACTACTGGTGCACTATCGTCCATAGAATATTTGTTCGAATTTTTGCACATCCATCTGCTGTACACTATGACTAATTAGCGAAACATCAATTTTTTATTCCTTTTCAAAAACAGAAGTGTTCTCAGTCTACATGGCACTGTAGGCACCTTCTTCGACTGGCTTGGCTTGGCTCGTCTTTTGCAAATACGTTACAATATACATTTCGTTTCCTTTTTTTTTTTTTAAGAGACGTAATGACCGAGTTGCCAACTAGGGACGCTGCCACGTTTGGGTAAGACCATCTCAGAACCGCTATAGCACTACTTCAAGATGGGTCCCAACACCAAACCACATCTCCCGAATGTCGTTGTTTCCTCCTTCGACTGTTCTCTTTCCTTTTTTTCACTGCACTTAGATAATCGATCTGTCAGCTGAAACCCGACTGATAACATTCCTGCTGACATTACCGCAACCGACGTTGATACTGTGAGACAGACTGATATCATTCTCAACCTACGATACCTTTGAATTATATCTAGCTTATGTTCTCAAGAATCTTCGTTTTACAGTGCTTTCTTTGCGCATAGACCACGCTGCATATAAATTTTCGGCAGTGCTATTTTGGACACCGTTAATATTTGGCAGCGTTTAGCACAAAGGGCTTGCGGCCAAACGCGACAGTTACAACTAATGCTGTCTTTGGTATTGTTTTTAGTAAGGCCTGTTGTGGATAACATTTGGATTTTTGCATTTCTTGATGTTCAATAAATGGTTTTCATCTTTTTAAAACACTTCATAATACAAGCATTCAGTTTTCATTCAGCCAACAATGGTCATTATATTAATAAGTGCATCTAATGGTCGCACACTTTGATCTAATCATTTACTGCGTACGAAAAAATAGATTATTAAACACAATTTATTATTGTTATTGTTACTATTAGTAATACAATCAATTTAGCGCGAGAAATAAATTCTAAGATCAAAGTCTTAAAGAACGAGCATCTAAAGCTATCCGGTTTATTGAAAACTCTTAATTGGCAGCTTCAAAGTAATCGACCTACATACAATCGGATATAGTAAATGTCCTATATATATTTATTGTTTAATACTGATTGTTTGCATTGATTCTCAGAGACCTGGAAGATTTCGATGTTCTTTGATAGAGGGAAGGCTCACTTCACTTTCGTTTTAGTATTTTAATACAGTTTTTATTAAGTTCGGGAAGTCTAAGCACTAACAGTAGTAGTGGTAAGGAGTTCTGATTAATATCGACAAAAACAAGCTGCTGACGCGTTGGTGCCTCGATTACAGCTGAATAAGCAAAATGGTGTACAAAGTGAACAAAAGACAACTAAATTCACGAAAAGAAAAGAAGAGATTTATTATTGGCTATTAAACAGTTATTTTTCGAAGCCGAGTCAGCGAATTTTAAACTCTAAATAACCAGTACTTTTTCAGCAGTCTCCGCAACTCCGAATAGCAAACAGCACTGCTGTCCAAGTGCATTGCTTTACAACACTTTCAAAGCATTGCATCCGTGCACGAGAAATACGATATACACATATACAGGAAAATCGTTTTATAGTTTCTCAGCAAATCGAAACAAATGAATTTCTTAGTGGATAACTAAATATTTATTGGAGCATATTTAAGCAAATATATGTAATAATAAAATAACTTAAAATGCTAGAGAAAGAAAAAAAAAAAAAAAATTCTTTAGAATATAATTTTATTATGAGAATGTTTAAAAGCTAAGATTATAATAGAATACAAATCGATGCCACGTCTACTAAAGCATTGGAGCGCTTCTCTTCCACTTTTCTCCATAGCCGCAACGTTTTTCATTAGCAATTCGTTCGTAAATTATATTAAAATTATATAAAATGAATTAAATATTTACTAAACGCTTTTTATTATATATATATTTTAATTAATTGTGTTAGTAAAATAATTTAAATTAACTTTTTATTTATTATTATTATTATTAATATTATTATTATTATTATAAAGGAAAAAATCGTGAAATAATAATAAATTATTAAAAAAAAATATACACATATATATATATATATATACACGTATATATATATATATATATATATATTTGTTCAGTCTTGTGTGCTTAGAAGAAAAAACATTTAAACAAAAACATTTTAATAAAATTGCATTAATTTTTCTTATTCACTTAAATCGCTTTTAAAACATGCAAAAAACACTGCGTACAAAATACATTTATCTGAATGTTTTTATCTGCTTCCGAATATGTTTTTGTTGTAAAAGAAATCAATTTTGCTCTTTTCTTCCTTTCAAGCTTTTATGGTCACCGCAACCGGCATCCCCGTCGCTGTATGATATAGCTCTACCTTCGGAAGGTTCCGGTGGCGCGATATTCAAGACATGAGATGTTCCCGATTTAACGGGTTGTTGATCGCCCATTTCTTCGTTCGCTTCACAAGTCGGTCTCTTAGGCGACATAGAAGCTGATGAGGAGCCGGAAGAAGTATTTGCAGTACTTACAGGCGAATCGGAGACTGTAGATGCTGCCATTATTTCCGCGTCCATTTCATCAAAAATATCGATAAGATTATTAATACCGATAAGATAGCCATCCTCACGATTACCAACTTTCCAAGTAGTAAAATGATTAATTTGATGATTCTCCGGTAATTGAACGGTTTTAGCAAAATCAATTAACCAAGCACTGGCATGCTTACGATCGTGTACGAATAACAATGAACTTCCGATTACTTCGTGACTGCGAAAAAAATCCGAGCACTCTAGAGTAGCACGTATGACACGCAAACGTTGCAAATAACGCGGCTAATAATAGAAAAAACAAAAAATAAATAAATAAATAAATAAATAAATAAATAAATAAAAGGTTATCATTTCATTATCCATTTTATCGCTCATATATTCATTCATTCCTCTTGTCTGTCGTATCGTGTACTTCGTACATATTTCATGTTATAGTTTATCGCAATTGAGCGACACCTGCATGACCCTATTTGTGTATGATTTGCTTATAACCCTGGGCTCTTTGTACTTTATTGAATTTAGCCAAATTGAAAAGGACGTTCGGAGATTGTCATCATCATTTAAATTCCAACTTAAAAGGCAAAAAAAAAAGAAGAAGACTGTATCCTGTAGTCTTCTGGTAATCCCATGGATGCTTATTTTGTTGCTTTTGTTGCTTTTTGCGCATAATGTGATGGGATTGATAAGAAAAACATTTGATGAGTTCACACAAAAATCATGCTCGTGTAAATTCGACGATCTTTGATGTAAAAGCAGCCATCGAACGCGAAAATCCATTCTATGTTGACTTTTCAGCGTGAAGACGCTCGCCCTTATAGTGCAAAATCTGTCCAGGAAATATTAGCATAGCACTGAACGGAAATCTGCGACCACCACCGCGGTAGTCATGAGTCGTTTTTGCTTCCCATGAACACCTATTTCTGGCGGTATCTTTTTGTTTGGCTGAGCACACATCGAATACTCCACACAAGAATAGTTGTAAAAGAAGCACCTATAGAGATAGACATAAAAGATCGGTTGCCCTAAGTAAGTCCGGAACTCATATTGTATCAGTAGCCAACGTTGGACAATACTTTGTATACTTTCAATACTTTCTATGAAATAGTTTTTACTATCCTTTAAAATCGACAACTTTTTTTATATAAGAAAAAGTAAACCAAACACTTTATGGAAGACTCGATGCATTTTCCCTATGGACTACAAACGAATTAGCAGTAAAAGGTGATATTAGCGAAAGATTCCATACATTTCCTTTCCCTCTCTTCCTCACTCTCTCTCTCTCTCTCTCTCTCTCTCTCTCTCTCTCTCTCTCTCTCTTTCTCTCTCTCTTTCGTCTCGTCTCTCTTCCTTTTCCTTTTCCTCTCTTTCTTTTCCTTCACCGCTCTCTTTCTTTTTCTCTGCCTGCCTCTTTTTTCCGATTCGTGTCCTTTTCACTTACCAAAGCATGAGAAAAGCCTTCAATGAATTCGTAAAATGCTTTCTTAATTTGTTCACGAGATTTTGTTGTTTTAAAATCTTTCGAACTTGTTCCATCGCTTTTCTTAATGCCCTACAAAAAAAAAAGAGGTACAAAAAGGATATAAAAAAAGAACGAACACAGTTTTCATGCACTACGGTAGGCAAACTCACTTCAATGCGGAAACCCAAAGTAGCGGTACTTGATATGGTCTCCCGCCACACCATATAACGGGGCTTAGTAACTCCTTTAGCTCTATGCTCTTCATCAGTGGGAGCATTTGGGTCAATTTGTATCATTTTCTCATACATATCTTTACGCAATTTAGGTTTTTCCTTGGCCTTGGATAATTCTTCCTCTAAATAAGTGCGTACACCAATTTTACAATCCATCACACAAGGTTGATAGAAATCGCTTAACAAGTCCTGCAACTGCAAATACACTAAAAATCAATCAAAAAGAAAAGAGAAAATATATATATATATATGTAAGTAAGGCGAGAATTTTTCCAAAAATTACTAAAAAATATTTACATTCACCATCCTCGCTGGTAACCTGTCCCTTATATTGGGGCACATAAGGTCGTAAAACGTCTTTCATAAGCACTTGAAAGCAATCTTCTTCTTTCGGGCATAGTTTCTTTAAAACGGTACCTTGCTCAGGCCCAGCCTTGAAATTACCTTGATGTCCAGCTAATTGTACCCAAGGGTAGCGTTGCTTTTTATACGTTTGAAAGAACGGAGTCCACTGTACAATGTTTCGTATTTTCCGCCAACCAGAGGGCTGTAAATATTTTAAAAAATCGTTCAAATTTAACAAATGTCAAAACTTCATATTTGCCACCGCGTACCAGCTTCTTTGGCCAAATAAAATTAAAGGTGGACTCAAGTATGACTTCAAAATACATACATTTTTTTCTTTATTTTTCTTTTTTTTTAATTTCATAAAAACAAAAAAAAAAATATTGTTTTATTTTTTTTGTTTTTTTTTGTTTTTTTTTTTTTTTTGAAAACTGTAAAAATCCAAATTTTTATGTTTTTAACCATTTATGAGCATGTTTGACAAATTTACTATGAAGTATTTTTGCTGTTGTCGTTGTTATCATTATGTTTTTGTTCTTTTTATTAAAAAAAAAAAAAAAACGGTTGTTTTTGGTATATGTCAACAGCCGGCTAGACAAATTTAGCGCTGTTTGCAATATGTTTTTATATATTTTGTTTGTTGTTATTGGCACGTGCCGCTATTCTATAAGACTGCAATCTAACACCTAGTTTAACATCATAAACGAAGTCAAAAGATCGCATAATAAACTCAACCGATTTTCACTTTTTTTAAAACATGTTAAAAAACAACTTAAAGAGCCTAAGCCAATTGTCGTCGTCATTTTTATACCCTTTACTTACCCACGAAACCAAACAAACATAAAACAAATAAGTAAATTATATTCGGTTATGACCGAATCTTTTCATACAATCATTCACACATCTGTACTATTGGACTCTCCGAAGGTTCCTTTTGAAAGTTGCAAACGTCTTGACAAAATGAATATACCCTTCATCCTTCGATGCTTCGTATAAAAATAACGCGTAAACAAGTCCGTTGTTTGTTTATATGAACCTCTGTCCGTCTACGAAATTGTGTAGTATCTGTGGTAAACGTTCCCCAGTTCGCAGAAATGACGATATCGCCCACAAAACTTGCAAAAGACTTGGAAAATTACCCAAAACTTTATGAACAACGCGCCTACACGTCTAAAATTGTGAACACCATTGCCCTCCATCTTGCTTGCTAATACCATATAATAAATTTTCACTTCTATTCCAACAATAGCGAAAATTAGCAGCAGTTCAACTCGTTTTCTTCTAGAATCACGTTGATGGATATAAAAGATTTCGTCACGACCGAATATAGTTTTCTTGCTTACTTTACTTTACTTTAGATCCTCTACCAACAACATTTTTTATCCAGAAACACTTCGTTGTATCATGAACTTCTATTAACTTGTATATATATATATATATATCTATATACAGAATGAATGTTGTAGCCAAGCTAGTACTTAGTCCTTGTAATAGATTAGAATTAATTGTAGTTCCCACCAGCATTTCGTTGTGCAAAAAAAAAAAAAAAGAAGAAGCCAAATGTTTATCATCATTGCATCATTTGCTCGCTTCAAGTGACGATAATTCTCTATGAAAATGTTTATGCAAGATTTTAATTGAAATAAATTGTATCTGGCTTTCGGATGGATAATAGTCCCATATATATATACAGTTATATATATATATATATATATATATATATTTGTATATGAACACTAACTCTGTTGGTGGGTGGGTGGCTACTGCAAGTTCAATGTTATTATTATTATTGTTGTTGTTGTCAATGTTAATTGTTTTAAATTAAATATTGCTATCGTTATTTAGCACAGAAATCTAGAGAATGTGACGCATATATAAACACACAAAAAAGAGCTTATAGAACAACAATTGGAAAGTGTGTTGATTTCATTTCATTATATATTATAATAAAATATATAAATTCACAAAGGCACGCGTTTGACGGATAATAATTGTTAAGAACACATTTTTTCACATTTAAAAAATGAGAAAAGCTAAACTTTGTTCGTTCCTTAAGTAGAAAGTCATTAAATCTTTTTAAATTTTTCAATACAATCACCGAAGCATACGCCGGTGCGTATAGGTATTTTGTCATTTATTGAAACTAGATTTCATAGGATTAGTTCCTAAGCGAAAACCTATTAGCAGAGAAAATTTCATCAAAATATCTCAAAAATTCGGAACTGTAGGTTGAAAGAGAAGAATGCCAGATAGACAGACGAACGAACAGGTTTTGTTTAACTTGGAAAGTGATTCTGAAGCGAACCTTATAATAAAATATGAGTCTAGCTCAAGCCTTTCTGGATGCACAAGCTTAATATGTACATTTACATATATAAAGAAATAATTTCAACCCAGCACGTTACTTAGTATGGGATTAGTATTAAGTTAGTATGCATAGATGTACTCAACCATCAAAATAATTTGAGATAAAGCCCACTTTTATGATACCAATCCGTTTGAACAAACTTGCCGAATGAATTTAACGCTCTCTATCCGTCTGTCCGGCTAATATCAACCGATGTTCTACGTAGTCAACTTATAACTTGTAATTTTTGAGATGCTTTGGTGAATACCGTTGGGGTTTTGACCGGAGGATGCATCCCACTATCACCACTTCAAATTATTACGCCGTATTTTGAATAGATCGTGGCCAATTAATATAGGATGTTTAATGATCTTGCGATCTTACCTCACTACGACGTCGCAAATTCTTTGCTTTTTGGTCTCTCAGTCAGTAAGTCAATCCGTTCGTAAGTTTTCCTGTCTGTTCGCATGACAATTTCCTCGTTCGCCCATCTGGCCACCCCTGAGATCCCCCATCCATTTACGTTTACGTTCAATCATCGATGTTTTAACACAATTCATTTGTTCGTACGTCCTGCTGTAATACATTTATCCGTCTATTCTTTACGTCTTTTTGACGGGCTATTACTGTGTCCGTCGCTTGTGTAGCACTTTAAAATTTTTGCAGATTTATCTGCAATTTTGACGTCGATAACATTAGACATTACGTGCACGGACAGATAAATAACCGGTAGACGAACGGACGGACATGCTTAAATCGATTCAGAATTTAACGCTGATCAAGAATATCTACACTTTGTCAAGTTTCTCAAGCTTCCTTCTGGGCGTTGCAATTGTTTTGACCGCAATCCTCATCATCCCTTGGTAATGAGTACAAAAAATCGCCGTATTGAACCTTAGAGGGTTTACACTTCCAAGGCAAAGATGTGCGCTAAACAGGGCAGAGAGATAAGAAAATTGTGCTACAAATAGTTATTCTGCTCTAAAGGTATACAGCAGACTACCTTCTTATCAGCAACAAGGAATTTCAAAGCATGATCGGGACCAATAGGCTAAAGGAGGAAGGATTGCTCATAAATAATTGATCGCATTGTAAATGTAAATAGAAAATGTGAGCCCACTTTTTACTTTGTATTTGTAACGAACGGTTATGAATCGAAATGAACTCACTTGTACATGATAATCATATAATAAAAAGGATCGGAACACTTGCAAGAAAATGGTTCTCTCCAATTGGTTTATTACCATAAATTTTTGTAAATTACTTATTATAAGAAGCGTTTCAAGTTTACTTACAAAATATTTTTCTGAAAATTACCTGAAAACAAAAGAAGAAAAGATGTTTGGTTACTGATATGCGATAAGATAAATATATATTTGGAAATTAAAAAAAAAAAAAAAGTTATCAAAAATTAAAGATATTAAAAAAAGGCAAATTAAGTATTAAAATACGGGTAATAACTAAGAATTTTATTATTTTCGCAAACGTTAATAAAATATTTTTATTTATTATGTCAAGTAGTCCGAGTGTTAATAAATATTAAGCAGCATCGCTTTACGAGATTACATCACCACATATTGAAGATATCTAACGCAACGAGCTTACTTTCGCAAAATGACGCAAGGCTCGATTCCAGCGAGCACTGCCTATACTAGATTATCAAGGCTGACCATTGGCAGTGCATGGCCGCCCTAGACTGAATTGCAAATTGTCAGACCTACTGTACCATCACATCGTTAGGCTAGAAAAATATATTCAGGTTGACAAACTAAATTGAATTAAAACGAAATTAATTTTTTCAAGTTTTGAATTAAATTATTAGACTTATCTGCCTCATAAAAAGTCTCATATCAATTTTATAACCGGTAATAAAAGTTAATACACAGATAAATTTCCTAGATTACATGAAAGGGTATGTAGTTAAAGGTAGCTGGCACGCTTGGCTAAATAATCAATCTAATACAGATTGAATACGAATACATTTGCGAATTTTAAAAGTAAGATCCTACCAAGTTATCGAAATGATTAATCGTTGATCCAGCCATTTTAGGTTAGAAGATGAACACATTTTCTACCAATATGCTTATGAGTAGTTGTCATTTCCATGCTATCTGCACTAATACAAGCTAACGAATTTGAAAACTTTTTGTAAATAAATACGACGACCACGTCGTTAGAGAGTATTTTGTAATGTCAATGGACTACGTTGCGAAAGTGGACTATCAGATTAGATGTCGGAGTTAAATTTTCTCGTTTTCTTCGTAAATTGTTGGAAATTGGTAAAAGACCCAATAATAGGGTAACACGAAAGCGAATTTTCAAACCGACACTTGCGAAGACAACATCAAAGAACTGACCGCCAACACTACAAAGCGTCAGCGTCAATAGTTCCCAGAACTGTCTGTAACAAAAAAAAAACCCTTATCGCCTTTAGAGTATGCCAACACCCATGCAACGCCTGCTAGCCTGTGGTTTTAGTGACGCTAATGTTATAGTACTCTTTTCGCAAACACATTGAAATACTTAAAATTATTGTCGATAAACGAGAAGTGAATCTGCACGGAATAGTTGAGATCATAAAGATGTCAAAAGGCCGTATATTACTTCTTCGATGAGGCCGTTACGTGCTCTGTGTATCTCAACAAATTATTGTATAAAAGAAGCATCGAAATATTAGCGAAGCCGGGGACTTGTTGTACTACACTTGACGGAGACTCTATGTTGACGAATATAATATATATCGAAGTTCAGAAAAATATTTCCCTTTGCTTCTTTTTGCTGAGGATTATTGATCGATTTTTTAAACATGACAAAGATTTGCATTAGTAGCCCTATTCTGAACAATATCACAGACA